CTATGTTCTTTTAAAAGGATACTTAGATTTGGATTCACTTTTCATAAACCTCTTCAATGATTCCAAGCCAAGAGCATATACATACATACATATCTACGTGTATATGCATATAAATGTAGATATATGCACAAGGAGGTCTCGAAAAGTTCACGAGAAAATTCCATTATTTTTCATTCCCCTTTTCCACGAACTTTTTGAAACCCCATCGTTTATGCATGTATATGTAAAAACACACATATATGCTTGCATCTGTAATTCTTGTTCTGTCGTTTATGAGATTTTTCTCTAACCAGACATACCAGCGGGGGTAAAAACAATTGAGGGAGTTAATAGGCTCCAGAAAATGCACCATGCTATGCTTGCATTGTTTAGTTTCAGAATTTCAGCTGAGAACGCATGTGCACATTGCTAAAATTCTCCACAGTGAGGTTGCTACTTGTGGGGAGTGCTAACTTAGATCCAGGGTCTCAAGTCAGTTAATTCTCATTTGACCCAGTTCTGGGAACTGACATTGCCCAGGAGCCACAGTTTAAAAACTCCCCAGGTGAGTCTCAGGTACACACTGTTAACAAGTAACTTCTGATTCAGTCTTCCTGGGGTGGAAATAAAAATTCTCAGCTGGGGGTCAAACCAGAATTAACTGCTTGACACCCATGCATTTCCATTCATGGTCCATCTGCTTCTGTGGCAACAGGGGCAATGGAACCCTGAGTGATCTGGCACTACCGATGATTGAACTCACTGCCATTGAGTTGATGCCAACTCATCGAGACCCTACAGGACAGGATAGAACAGCTCCTGTGGGGTTCTGAGACTGTAACTCTTTACGGGAGTAGAAAGCCTCATCTTGCTCCTGAGGAACAGCTGGTGGTTTAGAACTGTGAGTCCTGTGGTTAGCAGCCCAAGGTGTAACCACAGATGCTTTAGTGTCTCTTAAAGATTGTGCCCTTAACAATCTTGAAACATGACCTGGTTCCAACAACATTCCTATGAAGAAGCCAAATCCCGCGTAAGAGAAGCAGATGGCGTGTGCTTTGTCATAAAGTTCTTATGAGGCCAAGGTTTATGCATCACATTTTTAATTGTTGTTTGGGGATCAGAGTAAGGAAGGTGAGAAATGCCTAAATGTCTCAAGAGGCGGCATAAAGGTTACGGAAAAATTCTTTGCTTTGCTATATATGTAAAGAATTCTTCATCTGTAGGATGATGGTGAGAACCAGGAGATGGAAGCAAACAACTTGGAGTTGTTATGAAATCTATAGTGTGAGAAAGTTGAGACCATTGCCAAGGGAGTGGTTGAAGTGGTCACCGTGGATGCTGTGCTAGGAATAGGTGGCATACGAAAAAACACAGAGGGTGGAAGGGCTGATGGGCCAGTATGAGGTTGGAGAGAGAGCCACTGTTGTGGGGGAAAGGGTGTGTCAGAGTTGGGCAAGGAGGGATAGGGGACACCGGGGGCCTTTGTGGTCTTGTTCCACAGGTGGAGCGACGACAGTGTCCTGAAGAGAGCTATGCTAGCGTGGTCCTAGTGGGGTGGGTAAGAAGGTCCCCAGAGTTATAAAGAAAGGCAACTCAGCGGCAGGGAGTCGGGTAGTTCACTAGCCTGAACTCGTCAGTTACGCAAGGTGATGAAACACTTGGGGCGGAGAGGATTACTGTTCCTAGATGCATTCTTTCAGGTCGCAGAGTGAAGGGGGGAATCGACAGGCAGCCCCAAGTTACGAACATTTAGGGACAAGTCATACTTGCCCTTTAATGCTATTCAGATTTGCCTTTTGCAAGGATTTGCAGTGTGAAACGATTGAAAACCCCTACTTGCAACAGATTCTTTGTCACAACCACCTTTACGTGCTGCACAGAAGGATATAAAAAGGAAAGTCGTTGAGCCTTTTCTTGCACTATATATAACTCAAAAGCTGGAGCTCTGGTGGTGCAGTGGTTACATGTTGGGCTGCTAACTGCAAGGTCGAAAGACGAGGCTTTGACTCCTGTACAGTGAGTGTTACAGTCTCACAAACCCACAGAGGCAGTTCTACCCTGTCCTACAGGGCCGCTGTGAGTTGGGGTCGACGCTATGGCAGTGAGTGAGAGTGAACCCCAAAGCCAAACCCGCTGACACACTGAATCAATTCCAAGTCATAGTGAGCCTGCAGGAAAGAGTCCCATTGCTCTTTAGGGTTTCCCAAGACTGTAAATCTCAGCTTTTTCCTGAGGAGCAAGATGAACCAGAGAAAGAGTCTCCTCTTTCTCCTGCCAAGTAGCTGCTGGGTTTGAACTGCCAACTTTGGGCCTGGTAGTCCAATCTTTAACCAACGTTTAACCACAATGCTCCTTTTTTTGTGCATTAAAGTAAGGTTAACAGCACCATATGCACCTGTTCCGACTTACCTGCAAACTTGATTTAAAGCTTTACTTAGACTTTAAGGCAGCCTTAGGAAGAAATCTCACTCTGAACCCAAGGGCTGCTTGTTATTCGCAGTAATGAGGGACGGGAGCACAGACAACCCCAGAGAAAGAAGGCTTCTAGGGTAGTGCAGGGGTGGGGAACCATTTTTTCTGCCAATGGCAATTTGAATATTTATACCATTTGAATAACTGCTGAATGTAATGGCTGGAACTGCTCCCCTTTGGTGAGGTGCATGATGTTGGCTGGTACTGATGATTTGAAGGCTCTGTATGGCCCTCGGGCCAGACATTCCCCACCTCTGGTGTACTGTGGAGGGAAAGAATAAAGAGTAAGTAGCAAAGAGGTGCTAAGGCCAGCCCTTCCTCCACAATCCTCACCCTTTCCTGGGAGAGCAACAGTGAGAAGTAGGATTGTGGGCAGAGCCTGGTTTGGGTGTGGCCAAGAGCTAGATGGAGCATTCTGTGAAGAAATTTAGAGGTATTTTTACAAGTACAGAGAATTTGAGAGGGGTCAGAGTACAAGAAGGGGTGTTTTCCAAAGAGCTACAGAACAGTATGAGGATAGGCATTCTAAGAAGGCAAAGGAAACAAGGCATGCACGTTGGTGAAGGGTGCCGGGAATAAAAGGCAGGGGCATCAGTGGAACCGACGCATCAAGCTGGCACAGGCTGAAGCTCCAGGTAATGTAGACTACATGGCATAGTAATGACCTACTCTTCTGTGTTGAGGCCAGCTGACATTCAGGAATGTCCAAGACCAGACAACCTGATCTTAACTTGTCCCCATGTACTGGTTTAAGGATAGATAAACCCCTCAGGGCTAACAATGAGAATAGAGAGAGCAGGAGGATTAGGGGAAGGTGGGGAAGAAAGGGGTCATTGATCACAATGATCAACATATAACCCCCTCCCAGGGGAACAACGAACAAGGGAAAAGTGGGTGAGGGGTGACAGAGGATGATGTAAGATATGAAAATAATAATCTATAACTTATCAAGGGTTCATGAGGGATGGTGGGTGGTGGCGGGAAGGGGAAAATGAGGAGCTGATATCAAGGGCTCAAGTAGAAAGAAAATGCTTTGAAAATGATGGCAGCATATGTACAAATGTGCTTGACACAATGGATGAATGTATGGATTGTGATAAGAGATGTAAGATCCCCAATAAAAGTATTTAATAATAATAATAATGAAAGTCATGTAATTTCTGCTCTAAATTTCCTTGGGACTGCATTGTCTCATGAGCCACACTTGGAAGAATCTGATGACCTAATGGTACTCCAAAGACTATTTAGTTTAGACTGTTAATATGTTTTAAATTATTGTCACCAAGTTATAGTGCAATCACCAATTAGTTCTTGGACCTGAGGAACTAGTATTTCAGCATTTATTGGAATTACTCAATAATTATTATTCTAAACACAACACAACAACGTTCATAATTCTTCAATAGTTCGTTTCCATCCTTTTGAAAAGAAAGGACCTGAATTACATGGAAACAGAAGGTTAGGTCGGCAGCATGGGATGGCTCCTTTGGTACTCATTCTAAGGCACAAGACGTGAATGCTCTCATAGGGTTTTCAGATAGCATTTGGTTTCGTGTCTTGTAACAAAAGTCACAAATCCAAGCTGTCCCACAACCCCACTTTTCTCTGTCACTGAAGCAAAAGCAAAAATGAGTCACTGGTCACATTTAGCTGACTCCGAAATGATTTCCATGTTTAATGGATTTTCAAACTGCCCAAGTAAAAACTATGTGATGTTTCTGTCCTCTGACAGCACACTGGAAATTTGGGATCTTGTAATAAAAAAGGGCATGTGAGAGGCCAAACCTGCCTACCTAGTGCTATATGTCATGGAAATGGAAAAATCTGAGTTTGTTTGTATTTAAAATGTTCAGGTGTTCAACAAGCCAAGCGACTTATATTTTGTCTCACTGATTCTTGGGCTTTGCTTCTTTCTTAAGAGTGATTTTACTTGCAAAGTGGAGGTTGCATATTTCGACACCCACTGTGAGTCTCCACATGAAACTGTGTCTGGATGGGACAGGGCCAGTTACCCCTCGCACTGAAGAGCCCATAGCTCATTGACAACAGCCAGGAGTTGTGATGAAGCCCACCTTCTAGCCCTTCTTCCTTTCATGGTAGGTGGGTGGAGGCAAGAGTGGGTGCCCAGTGAAGTGGACCACTGGTAAACAATCAGCTGTCGACTCCCTTGCCAGAACCACAAACAAACAAACAATGACGAGAGCGGAGAATGGGCTTCCGTGGGGGATGTGTCTCCTTGGCTGAACTTTCCAATGAGCATCTGAAAGAATAGCTGGATTTTTGTGGTTTAGAAAAAGATCCACTTACCTGTGTGCAGTCCCAGGCCCAGTGCCCGGAATATGGCCTGTAACTGGATGTTTCCGCTGAAACCAAGGCCAAGCACCCAGCAGGGGCCAACCTGAGCTGCTGGTGATTTTAAGACCAGATAATGGGTATCCGATGAAGGCGTCGCCTTTTCCCCCCCTTTTTAGCCCCCCTGATAAGGAAAACTTGTCCTCTTCTTTATTGCAGGGCATTTGTGAAGCTATTTTGCTTTTTTTTTCTTGTAGGACATTTGCGAGGATATTTCTGACCATGTTGAGCAAATCCACGCCCTCCTGGAAACGGAGTTCTCACTGAAACTGCTCTCTTACTCCGTCAACGTGATTGTGGACATCCACGCAGTGCAGATCCTCTGGCACCAGCTCCGAGTCTCAGTGCTCGTTCTGCGGGAGCGAATTCTGCAAGGGTTGCAGGACGCCAATGGGAACTACACCAGACAGACGGACATTCTGCAAGCCTTCTCTGAAGAGGCAAAGGAGGTGAGGGCTCTCTTTGAAGATGGGCAATGCTTTGTCAGTTGCCATCATTTGAAAATGTCTCAGTTCACAGTTGGGAGTTGGGAATGCTTTGTGGGGATGTAAGCAGGCCTTACCTGGGTTTTGAATCTAAATGTGGTGTCCAGCGGCCGGGGAACTTCTCAGGTGAATGGAGCTTTGGGCCAAAAGAGACGCACCTCTGATAATTTACATGGATGCCATAGAATTTGATGCTACCCTGGCTTCCTGTTCCCCATTCAATTATTTTATAACTATTTCAGCTTGCGCTATATGCTAGGCACTAGGGACTAAGAACATAATAGTGCCTTCAAAGAGCATAGAGTTTAGTGGGGGTGCAGAAAACTAAACAGATATTCAGATAAGATTGTGGTAGGTCTGTGTGATATTATTGGAAGACAGAGAAAGGGAACCTGAGTCAGATTACAGGCACTTTCCAGAGTAAATGAGTCTAATTGAGACCCGAAGGGGGATTACACTGGGGAAGGGAGGTAGAAAACTATTTTCTAACGATCACTGCCATCGAGTCAATGCCGACTCATAATGACCCTGTAAAACAGCATAGAACTGCCTTTGTAGGTCTCTAAGAATGTAACTATTTTTTTAAAATCATTTTATTTGGGGCTCATGCAACTGAATGTAACTGTTTACAGGAGCAGAAAGCCTCATCTTTCTCCCAAGGAGCAGCTGGGAGTTTCAAACTGATGACCTTGTGGGTAGCAGCCCAATGCATAAATAACCACTACACTTCCAGGGCTGTTCAACAGAGGGAATGGCGTTCTCAAAGACTCAGATGTAAGAGAGAATGCTATGTTCAAAAAGCTACAGGTGTGACCTGAGAAAACCGTTCTAGGGACCAGGATGCAGGATTAGTATACAAGCAGACATCAGATCCCAAAGATGGGAAAAATAATTGAACGTATATTAAGAAAAATCAGATTTTATTTGAAGTTTTTTTTAAGGTACTTCCATGAGTAGATTCATGTCTTAGAAAATCCATTCTGGGTGTAATGAGTCAAATGGATAATAGAGTGGTACATAATCGATTTCTTTAGTTATTTCTTACTAATGTAGAGAGTAAAGGGTTGGTTATTGTTATTCTTTGTGAATGACTTAGAATGGGCCCTCTGTAAATTTGAATCCAAATAAAGTTTCTCCTTCTTAAATGCAAGAGGTCTATATTTATAGAGCCAAGTATGAAGCTAGCTGAAACCGAAACCCAGTGCCACCGAACAGCTCCCTCTCCCCTCTCACTGCCATCGAGTCAATTCCAACTCATAGAAACCCTGTATGACAGAGTGGATAATAAATCTTTACCAGTATAGACAGCCCCATCTTTCCCTCACAGAGCAACTCATGGATTGGAACTGCTGACCATTACACATTGGACTCCAACATTATCAACAGCACAGATCTGTACCTATGTTCAGAAATATCTCATTCAAAGTGGGTGCATAAGCAAATGTGGAGAAGAAAGCTGATGGTGCTCAGCTATCAAATGATATAGCATCTGAGCTCTTAAAGGCTTGAAGATAAACAAGTGACCATTTAGCTGAGAAGCAAAAAAGCCCACATGGAAGAAGCACATCAGCCTGTGTTATCATGAGGTGTTTATAGGATCAGGTATCAAGCATCAAAGACCCAGAACAAAAAAAATCATATCATTGTGAATTGAGGGGGAGTACAGAATGGTGACCTAAAGCCCATCTGTAGGCAATTGGACATCCCCTTACAGAATGGTTGTGGGGAGGAGATGAGCCAGTCAGGGTGCAGTATAGCACCAATGAAACATACAACTTTCCTCTAGTTCTTTAATGTCTCCCCCCCACCTTCATGACCCCATTTCTACCTTACAAATCTAGCTAGATAAGAGCTGGAAACACAGGGAATCCAGTACAGATAAACCCCACAGGACCAATATTGACAGTAGCCAGACCAAGAGGGGAAGGGGAAGGTGAGGGGAGAAAGGTGGAACTAATCACAATGATCTACCTATAACCCCCTCCCAGGGGGATGGACAACAGAAAAGTGGGTAAAGGGAGATATTGGTCAGTATGAGACATGAAAAAAATATATATATTATCAAGGGTTCATGAAGGAGGGAGGGGAGGGAGGGGAAACTGAGAAGCTGATACCAAGGGCTCAAGTAGAAAGAAAATGTTTTGAAAATTATGATGGCAACAAATGTACAAAAGTGCTTGACACAATGGATGGATGTATGGATTGTATAAGAGTTATATGAGTTCCCAATAAAATGATTAAGAAAAAAGAAATATCACATACCTTACATACCTTGATTTATGCTCTTTGATTATTGTTTTCAAATCAAAGATGATGTTGTTGTGACAAACTACCTAAAACAGTGGTTCTCAACCTTTCTAATGCCACGACCCTTTAATACAGTTCCTCATGTTGTGATGACCCGCAACCATAAAATTATTTTCATTGCTACTTCATAACTGTAATTTTGCAAGTTTGCTACTGTTTGTAAAGTTGCTTCATAACTGTAATTTTTCTACTTAATCAGGTGACCCCTGTGAAAGGGTCGTTCGACCCCAGAAGAGGTCACAACCCACAGGTTGAGAACCACTAACCTAAAGGGTCTGGAGATTTATGGAAACAAAAATCTAGGCTTCATTCTCCCTTTTAATCACTGTCTTTGATTTGTCTCTTAGCTTTCCTCTGTAACTAGAGCATGCAGCCTCGATAATGTAAGCTTTTATACAATTACCTCCCCCTCACTTTTTTTTTTTTACATGATAAGAAATACATGTTGTCTGTGTTTTAGTCTCCAGAGACGGTCCCTCCAATGTTGGTCCCCAAAGAGTTTTTTTACTGGGACTTCTGCAGTGATGGGAGAATACAATGAATTCCAAGCTGGCTGAACTAAATTAGGTGTCCATAGGGCAGGTACAGATGAGCGGGAGACCGGAGATGGGAGGGCTTGTCCAAATTTTTAGATAGCTGGTCCTCCCCAACCTATGCATTCTTCTCCCCTACCCCCACGTGTTCTGGCGTCTGGTACTATTCGGGCACTGTCGCGGATCAGACCTGTTCAGTGTGTCCAGCTAGCATGACGATTAGAAATCAGCGCGTCAACCCCGTTCATTTTGCATATTTGTTCACTCAGCAAACGTTTCTTGCCCGTCAGCTCTCTGTATTAATAGCATGGGCTCTACTGCCGAGCTCTAGGACTTATACTGCCGTGCTGTTTCTGACGTGATTCAGAATGTGTTCACCGCACACTTACTGGAAGTTTCGATCATTTCTGAAGTGCTAATGCAAGACATGATGAAAAGCCACCATGGCTCACTAATTGTTACTGCCCACTGTTGTCACGGCTTTGTTGTAAATCGACGTTAAGTGGCAGTATGGGTCTCACAACGTGAGCTCAGTCATTGGGTTTTCATGTTTGAGAGGTGCAAGAATACGCTGGATGAAGAATGAAAGAAGAGGGGGTTCTAAATCAGCATCATTGTAGACCTTCCCAGGAACTGAGGCTCAGCCTGACCATCCTCCTTCCTTGAAAGTGCGTTTCTGCTCGTGTTTGTGTAGCTGGGTGGTTCCAGGGACTCGTTTCGAAGGCTGTTTAGTTTCCTTCGTTTCTGCTCAGCACCCTGGACTTTCAGAAAACAGGAACGGCAGCAGGATAAAATTCTGAACTTTATTGGAAATAAATTCAGCAGGACAGAATGGTAGAATGAAGAAGGACATAAATGACAATAATAAATGCCACTTTGCAGCAAAGGGATTAGGGGACTCGTTTTTCTCTTGGGGAAGTTAGTTCAATTTCAGAGCCCCATTAAGGAATTAGTTCTCCCCCTTTGCTCTGTGAAGATGTCAAATATGAGTTTTATTCTTTTATCTGGAAGTGAAGCAGACCATAACTAGTAAACAAATTGGCAAATGCCTATGGGGGGAGAAAAGGCAAAACAAACAGAAATTAAAAAAAACTTAAGGCAA